CTTTTTAAATACATCCCAAAAAACAAACAGTCGACCAAACTACCTGTGTATAATGAAGCCTGAACAACAATAAAACACAACCAAACCACCCCGCCACAATTTCTTACCTGTCACCACCAAGGATAAAAATGCTTCCTAAATTAATATTAAATAATAACATATAAATAGTATAAATAATTTGTAAGATTGCTAGATGTTTTTTATATTAGGAATTCTCCTGATCAAGGCAAATGCGAATTTGCCGAAACGCGTTTAGAGATATTCAACCGCAACATTCGAAATAAAATGTTTAAAGCCACTACTTTTACGCGAGTCTTAAAATCACTTTTAAAACTGATTTCAAACTTTGTTCTTAGAGCGTTTACGCACAAGAATTAGCAGCACTTTTAAGGTAGCTGTCAATCAATCAGCTGTTTAACGGTAAACAGAAATCTTGATTTTGAACATTTTAAAAATGAATAGAGTCAAACTACAAATTGTTTTACTTTTATTGTAAAAAAAAAATATTATAAGCAAAATTGTAACAATGCAGATTTTAAAAACTTCCCGTAAAAAATTTACAAAATTACAAAATTGAGCTCTTTAACAAAATGGCAATACGTTCCGCTAATGAGGCTTTAATGAATGTAAATGTTTTTATAAAGTTTTTCATAAAATATATACAATGCACTTTTGTTTTTAGCTTCCACCAGGAATAAGAACTTTTAGCAAAAGAAAGAGAAGTTCGGAGTAGTGGGATGTTGAAGTTCTGCAGTTCTATGACGATGAACAACGGCTTACTGATTTTCGAATAAATCGGCAAATATTTTTCAGGCTTATAGATTTGCTTAAGGATTAAATGGCACCAGCAGGAAATACTTTCGTTGAAGGGTTACCTGTTGAAAAGAAAATAGCTATTGCAGTTTACAAACTTGCTCTTGTGCTGAATACCGTGTAATTGGAAAAGGATTTGGAGTATCAAAGAGTACTGTTTGCTTATATGTTCATAGTTTCAGTAAAGTTTTAATGCATCAGAATGTGAACGTATAGCCTCGAGATTTGAACAAAAATTTAAACTGACAAATATTATTGGTGTTATAGACGGCACTCATATGTCAATTAAACCACCACAAAACGGTGCTGCAGACTTTCGTAACAGAAAGGGTTATAGTTCCATTGCAGTGCAAGCTATTGTGGATGATCAATATTTATTTAGAAATATTCCAGCACATAATCTTGGCTGTGCACAGGTTGCATCAATGTTTAGGGGCAGTTCTCTATACAAAAACCTTAATACAATAATTCCTGAAAACCATAGGGAAATCGGTGGAATTTACAACGCCTCAAATGAAGCTATGCTTTTTAAACTTCCTTATTATATTATTGGTGATGCAGTTTATCCGCTTTGTAACTGGATTATGAAAAATTATAGGAACGAGTTAACTTTTGAAAAGACATCCTTCAACTTATATTTGAATCAAGCACGAATTGTTGTGAAGCAAGCATTTGGTCGCTTGAAAGGAAGATGGAGAATACTTTATAAGAAGAGCGACCTGGATGTTTACAATATGCCGCTTGTGATAATAGCGTGCGGAATTCTTCACAATTTTGTGGAGATATCTAAACAACGTTATAATTCCTCATTGGATGTAGAAAGAATCCACGGCGAAAGTGAATACCCCCAACCTGAATATATGTACAATCGACAAAATTCGTCGTCCGGACATTTTATACGAGATCATATACTTCTACATAGAAGCAATTAAAAAAATAATGTAGAAAAAACCAATTTTTAATTAATTAATTTGTACGTTTATTTATAACTAGCAATATAATATATATAATATAATATATATAATATAATATATATAATATAATATATATAATATAATATAATATATATAATATAATATATATAATATAATATATATAATATAATATATATAATATAATATAATTATAACAATTTGAGTTTAATGACAAATTTAAATAATTGAAAATAATAAACTTAAACTAAACTAAAATGTTTTAAATATAAAGTGACCATTACTGTAAAGTTAAGATTTTTAAATAGAGAATAAAAAATAAACATTTTTAATTATTTTTTTATGATTCTGGGACTCAATTAGGCTTTTGATTGCGCTTTCAATTGCTTTATTGCTACTACGCACCAAATTTTCATTATGCTTATGCTGCTCTTCCAGCATTTTGGTTCCCATTTACGCTGTTTTTCCGCTTTCTCAAAAAAAATTTTCCTGCCGGTTAATCATATTTTTGCATTTGCGAGACCAACTGTCATTAAAGCTGGACAACGCCTTTGCGTAACTTCCTGTGCCCTTCGATCGATCTACTCGAATCCACTCGATGTGGATGTATTCGATGAAGTGGACGTCGAAGGCAAGACATCTATTAGTAAACAACTGATTTCTAACTCCGAATTCGTTTCATCTACATTATTTACATTTTCTGTACTAAAATCTTATAGAATTACATTCAAAGTCTGAATTGCGCTCATATGTGTTGTCATTCAAATATTCTTCATTCCATTCGCCTGCAATTAAAAAAATTATAGCTCGGTAACAAGATATTTACTTATATGATAAATGACCATTTAGGTGTTCAATATCTAGAGTATCGCACCCGTTATTTACAAGAACTGATTATGGTCTTGTCTCAAGTATTTCGCACATCAATGGATGGTATTCCATGCAACTGTTTCCATAACAATTATTATGTTGTTTATTTCAGAGCATTGTCTTTTTAATTCCTGCCACTTTTGTTTTATTTGCTGTACACTTCTGTACCAGCCAGCGATTTCCATTTCTTGGCGAACAATTTCATAAATAATATCCTTTTTAAATTTTTTGCCGTCTAACAATTTAATTATTTGTTTTTCTGCAAATATTTTAATTAAACATTCTTCCTCTTCTTTCATCCAAATTTTTCTTTCTATTTCCCTTTTTTCTCCATATTTTTAGTTATTTGGTTAGTGTTATTTGTAATAAAATTCAAATTATTTGTACCTATTATTTGTACTGTTAACAGCTGACAATTCAAACCTTAAACTGCTTTCAAGGTGTTTACACAATGCTTAAAAGTGACATTTCTTACTAGAAGTGATGTTAAACTACTTTTAGTAAGCTAAAAGTGCTTTTAAGCAAATCGATTTTAAGAGCATTTAAACAACTTTTAAGGCTCGCGTAAACGTAGTGAATAAAATCAAAAAAGACACAAATTCTGAAATTTATTACTAAACAACAATGCTTTGCTTAAGTGCCGAGGCACAAATACGCCGGCTCTCATGCCGAACTTCGAACGGTCATATTGTTTTTTTTCTCTCAATTTCAATTTATAATTTGCATTGAAAACAATAAGAATTTTACTCGTGTCGAGACACTGTACATAATTTGTCCGCTACCGAATAGAGTTCAACGTAATAACGCAAAAACATCCTTTTGTGTGACACTACTAGTATATTTCGAATATATTTATTAAAGAATCGAATTGCATGCAAAATATTTTGCATAAGTTAATGTTAGGTAATTTCGGCATCTTTTAACTGTGCTAAAAAAAACAGCAACTTGCTTATTATAGTCTCTAAGCAAGATATTGGCATTACTGTTGCAATCTGTCAAATGTAATATTTTCGCAAACAGTAAATCTTGCGCATGTACACATAATAGGTTTGTTCCATGAGCTAATTGTAGTTACTTGGACTAATACGGCATTAACACTGGCCTCAAATGGCTAATTTTGATCAAAAATTAATAATGTCCAGCAAATGATTCGTTTTAGCATACAAAATCTCAAGAGCAAATTAGATCCATTGCATCTCATTCTGTATAAATGCGTTCCAACGAGATTAGAATGAGTGCCAAATATGTTCCAAATGCAAATGAATACATTGAACATACCTTAAATAAAAGCTTTTCATGGCATTTTAACAGTTTGAGAAAGTTTTTGATATATTTACATTTGACATATTTACAAAAAAAAGTGAACAAATGTTTGGTGGTTGCATATCCTTGATAACGATGCACCTCTTTTTGTAAGTTCTACTTCCCAAAAATAAATTAATCGAAACTAAAAATAAGTTTTCAGTTTATATTGTAATGTTTGAAGGCATATTTAGCCTTCGTCGAACATTTTTTTGGCACAGGCCAAAAATCAAACCTACAGGCAAGTTGAAAAATCAGTTGTTTGAAATGAGAACAAATGAATTACGACGAATGTAAACACTTTCAAATGGCTCATTCGAAATGAGTCATTTTCGGGCACTGTAAATGCCATATAACACTGTGTATACACAAATGCGTTCCACCAGCAAATTTTCGAGTAAATGAGAGCAACTGAGAGAGCGTAACACCCCTTCGAAATTTGAAAATGCTACACCGATCATACTCGTATATTTTATTTCAAGTAAAATTTGTGTTGATGTGTGAATCAGCTATTTTGGTCTGAATTTAAATTTTTGTATTGTTTATTTGCGTGGCACTGATGTTCTCATCAGATTTCACACAAAGCTTTTCCGTGAAAATCTGTGTAAAGAGCATAATTTGGCACTTTGTTTGTGTTACGCTCTGAGTTTATACTTTACTTGTGTTTTATTTGAATTTTACTACGATACTGCACTTAATACTGCGTTCCATTGTGAGATTAAAAGTAATTAAACAACAATCGAGATTAAAGTACTAATCTTGTTTTTTTAATCACAGATTACCAATAAAAAAATTAATCTCGTTCTGGTAGAGATTAATTTTTAATCTCCTTAGAAATGGTGATTATTTTTCTGTGCAACTCTGCAAATGTCTTAACATCGTAGATTTTTTTTACGATATTATAATATTACGATAAGAATTGGAAGAGAAATGTCAAAATTTATTCAAAACAAACATTGAAATTTGAAAATACCGAAGTGAGTGCAATTTTTATTAAATTTGTTTTATAATAGTTTTATACATAACTATAACTAAAATTTTTTTTAATTTCTGTTATAAAACTATTTATTAAATTTATATTATAATTGTTTTGTACATAATTATAATTATATGTTTTATTTACAGAAATTCGGTACGAGGAGACGGAACTATGGCAGTGTAGGAACAAATTTTGTGAATTACTTTTGCAATATTATTTATTATATATTTTATTATCAGAAATTCAACACGAAAGAAGCGCCGGATGAGGTGGACGACAGAAGAGGAGGAAGCACTTGTAAAGTTATGGGATATTAAATATCCGAAGTTGCGCGGTCAAAAACGCAATGCTCATATATACGCAGAAATTGCGGCCGAAATGGTGGGACGAAATATGCAGTTTGATAGCCACGAAGTGAAGTTTAAAATGCATAATTTGACGAACCGATTTAAGTAAGTTTAATTAAATTTATATTCTATTCAAAAATATTATTTTGATCTTTTAGGAAGGAGAAGGACAAAATGGAGACGTCAGGTGGGTCGCGTTCAGATTGGCCGTATTTTGATCGCATAAATGCTATAATTGGAAACAGAGGTGTGCACGATATGGATAGTGAAATTGAAGAGAGTGCAGGTTTGTAATTTCTTTTAAGTATTTATTTATTTTTTAAAACAAATTGAAATTTTTATTACAGTTTATAAATCGGAAAATAGTTCGATATATCCAATAACGTTAATCTCAGTGCCATCGTCAACACCGATGTCATCACCATTAACGCCGCTTACACCAACACCATTGCCATCACCAACACCAATACCACAATCACCACTTCCTCTTGAGTTAGAACGTGAATCTGCAAAAAAAAGTGAGTTGCCATTACTGCAAAGTATTGAAACTACTAACAAGGATATTTTGAATGAAATTCGCGCGATGAGACGCAATCAAGAGCAGTCAAATAAAGCTCAAGAGGAAATGCTTCAGCTTGAAAGGCAGCGAAATGAAATAATGATTAAGATGCTGACCTGCATTCAAGATCGCAAGAAAAAATAAATATTTTTAATTTATTACTTATAACTTGATAATATTATGTAAATAATAGTTTAATTTTAGTTGAGACTTAATTTTAAGTGTAATTAGTAGTTAAGAAATTATTTTAGTTTTAGTTACAAATTATAAATACATAAATAAGTATATTTTATATAAAAAAAATACGAAACTGAATACTCACTAATAAAATACGGAATAGCTGTTCGTATTTCTTGAGCCTTAAAATCGTGGTCACCGATGACATCTCGGTACTCCGACTGTGTCTTTTGTTGTTCCTCCTTTCATATTGTAGTTGGCTAGTTTGCCACTTTAGATTAATTTTGTCATTGTATTGATTTAAAAAATTGTGTATTACACAAATGCATTTTATAATTGTCACTGCATTTTTAATGTTGTTGTCTATTGCAAATGACCAAAAGCATTTTCAATACGTCTTCTTGCTTTTGATAGCTCGTAATTAAAATCGTTGATGTGTTGTTCTGCAGTTACATTGTAAGGATATGATTTCATCGATTGCCAGAGCCAGAACACGTATTTCATTTATGGTTTTATAAATATTTCTTAAAATTGAACTTTAGAGAAATTTCTTTTAATGAAGAACTTTCAAAAATTTTGGTGTCATTACATCGGCCCGGCGCTTCAACATTGATGTACATAAATATATATCTAAACTCAGACATAAATTTGTAGAACTACTCATTTATATTGATCATGTTAATTACCTGTAATCAACGAAAGCTAAAAGAACAACTGAATACCATCATTTGTAGTTGAAATAGTCTGTGGTTTTGCTGCAGAGGGTCTTACTGCTATGTGACGTCCATCTAAAAAATATAAAATATGAAAATAGCAACTTTTATTTATAATCTGTAAACTTTCCAATATAATTTTTCCGAATCCTTCTACTCGCTTCTCTATCTTCTCCTGTGCAAGAAAGTCGCTACTGAGATGTTTCGGTGCTTAAACTCTCCACATCTCCGTACAAAATTCTTTAAGAATGACATAGACAGTCAAAAAATTCTTTAAGAATGATATAGACGCCGCCTACATATGCTAACGTTTTATTTTTAAACTATGCAACGAATTTTATTTCGCCGCCGAACTTAAATGAAGATTAACTTAATCTCGTTCTCTTAGTTTCGCAATGTAAACGTAGCATTATGTACAAAAAAATTATAATATAAATTTAATAAATAGTTTTATAACAAAAATTTAATAAATTTAAGTTATAATTATGTACAAAACTATTATTAAATAAATTTTCATTTTTTTAATTTTGAATGATTGTTTTGAACAGATTTCTTCTAATTTTTCTAATATCGTAAAAAAATTTATGATATTAAGACATTTGCAAAATTGCACAGAAATATAATCATCATTTCTAAAGAGATTTTAAATTAAGCTCGTCCAAAACGAACTTTTGTATGGAAAAGCTGTAATTTAATTAAACAAATAGATTTATACTTTAACCTCGATGATTGCTTAAATCTACTGTTAATCTCACAATGTAAACATGGTATTAATCTAGTTTCGTTAATTGCACAACGAATAAGATAACTTGTAGGCTATTACAATGTTTGGAGTTTCCAACTGAAATGTTTACTCGATCAATACATTGATTTTCAATTTATTTATTATATAAATTTATAATTAAAGTGAATATTATTTTAAGCATACACCTAAATACAAAATTTACAAAATTTGGAGATTCAAAAAAGAATTCGAACTAAATTAAATCTGTAAATCAACGAAAATCAGCTGCTTGAATATCTTCAGTTAATCCCGCTAACCAACTCAAAATACGGTTAACCTATATTTAAGGTTAATCGGCGGTTAAAAATTATGCAAGTCTTAAAAGTTTTTTTAAGGGTCTTAAATCAATCTTAAGGTCGTGTTAATCCCTGTAATTGGCTTACTAAAAGTAGTTCAACATTCATTTTAATATACTAAAAGTAGTTCAACATCCATTTTAATATAAACAAAAAAACATTGCTTTTAAACATTGCGTACATATTTTAAGATTAATTTTAAATTTTGAGTGTCTTGCCATTTGACGGCATTTTTTTTGCGTTAATATTTAAAAAATTGATTGTAATGGCGAAGGACCTAGCAGTCCAGTTTCTTATTCTTAGTTAACTTTAAAATTAATTTCATTGTTAACTCACAAATAAATAAATTAA